TTCGTTTCACGCCCCTAACCCTAGTTCTAATGTAAACCCGACATATAGGTATTTTATTCCACGGTCTTTCTCTATCTTTCACGCAACTTGAATATTCCATCCTTGTAGAACCTCTCAGATTTTTCGGCGAAAAACTTTTCAATATGATCTTTCATGTCGACCAAATTCCTTAAAAAGCGGAATGAACTTTCCAAATAGCATTTAACAAGTGTAATAACTTATTAAAAATCAACGACCATATTTAAAGATACTTCTAGTAACGTTTCTTATTATGATATGCTTTTTTTTTACTTATTTATTTATTTATTTATTAAAATTACAATCAATTCTCGCGTTGAGAATTTTCAGTAATTTTTCTGGCGTGACGCAGTGAAATGGCTGATTATTTATAATAAGTTAATACTTATTATAGATAAGTATAATTTATAAGTAAGTATTATAAATAAGTAAATATTACTTAATTTAGATAACTAATTGAATCTAGCGTTTAGGTCTAGCGGGTAGTGCCTCTTCAGCCTGCGAATCTGGTCCGTCGTATCAAGTAGTCCAGTGATTAGGGGGTTTCGGTGTTTGTTGACTCTTTTGCTATATCTGTCGCTATATTTTGCTATTTCCTCTTTGACTGTGGGTATCTTGAGGTCGCGGTGTATTGTTTCATTGGTTACATACCAAGGTGCATCAATTAAGGATCTTAGCGTTTTCGATTGGAAGCGTTGAAGTATTTCAATGTTGGTGTTACTTGCTGTTCCCCATAGTTGGATTCCGTAGGTCCAGACAGGTTTTATTACGGTCTTGTAGAGGCTAATTTTGTTCTGTGTGCTTAGATGTATCGACATCTGGCAATCATCTTGTCCGCAGATATAGGGTCATTGTGTCGTGCGTCACGCCACATAAACTGTTGGAAAGTTTACTGTCGAGTGCCGCTACACAGCCAATATTATATCTAATATATTAATAACGATTTAGTATTATTCAAGCGTGTAGTTAACATTTTTAGAGGATACTCTCATCGCCAACATCGTTTTTCAACATTTTCAAATAACAGCGTTCACAACGTGTCTGTCACAACGTGTCCTCCACGGATCTGCTCTTTTAAACAATTTAAAATAGCGATCGTAATGTAAACCGATATTTAGCACTCTACAATTAAAATATCAATTATCGTACTCCCTTATCAAACTCTACGTTTTTCTAAGTAAAGAAACAATTTCCGTCGATAACAATAAAAGGTACTTTTGAAGGTTTTGTGTGCGTGTTAAAAGAATAAAACATGGAAATAATATTCTAACATCGCGCTGAGTTCAAATATTATAATTTATACCTGTACTTACAGCCGTTGTATCGAAATTAGACCAAAGCGTTGGCGATGTAATGGACGCACTGCGAAGTCGCGGCATGTTGGAAAATAGCATAGTAGTCTTCATGAGCGACAACGGTGCACCAACCAACGGTATACTGAGCAATCAAGGCAGCAATTACCCTCTTCGTGGCGTAAATATATTCTACATAGAACGATTGTACGTTCGTCTGGAATAGCTGAAATTTTGAGAATTTTCCAGATAAAGAACAGTCCATGGGAAGGTGGAACGAGAGGAGTCGCAGCTATCTGGAGTCCTCTGATTAGAAAATCTAAAAGAGTGTCGAATCAAATGATGTTCATGTCCGATTGGCTACCTACACTTTTATCTGCAGCAGGTTAATAGAATAATGTTAAAAGTATTAAAATCATTCTACGGTATTAGAAATTCGCGTTCTATTAAATTCTCATTTCTCGCAAAATTTTCAAAGCAACTGTAAGACAAATTATTAAAAGGATCAAGATTTTGCTATAAGTCACTTTACGTCCACATCTCTATAGAAATACTTTACCATATTGATATTGCAAGATATTACGGTAAAATTACTAAAAACGTTAACAAACACTAGATTAATTGAAACGTTTACAAAATCAGATTGACACACAGTAAAGTTTATTTTATTCAAAATTTGTGTAACCTTTAGGAGTGGACAGGATACAACTCGGAAACATCGATGGATTCGATCTCTGGCCATCCTTGGTGTCGGGCAAAATCAGTCCCAGATCCGAAATAGTGATCAACATCGATGACCTCGCTGATTATGCTGCTATTAGACGAGGCGATTTTAAATATATCATCGGCCGGACTGAAACTGGCATCGCCTGGCTTGGGGCAAGTGGAGACCCATCCGAGGGCGTTTCCCCTCGATACGATCCTCACAAAGTGTTGTACAGCAAAACTGGTGTCGCTATTTCTGGTATTATTACCGCCAAACAAGCGATGGAACTAAACAAAAAGAAAAAAGAAAACATAAGAATTGTGTACGATACTTCTTCAAAAACCAATTTTCAAGAGAAGATACTTACCAGCGAGGACATTATCGAAATGCGAAAAAAAGCACAGATAAAGTGTAACGTTACAGAGAAAGATAAGGTCAGTGTCGTACGAACAAAGATCCTATTTGAAATTACATATGTTACGTATAAGTTTTCTACGCTATTTTATTTTTATTTTCACTGATAAAAATACCATAACTTATAATAAGTTTTATAACCATCTTGTGTTGCAAACCGCTAAAAAATTTGTCTATAATTTTATTACAGATCCCTTGCGAGCCAATGATAGCACCATGTCTCTTTAATATAGAACAAGATCCTTGCGAAATGGTGAATCTTGCTGAGAGAAATCCTGTGATTTTAACTATATTTGAAACGATTCTTATTAGGCACAGATTAACCGTGATACCTCCTAGTAATTTGGATGGAGATCCCAGATCGAACCCATCGCTTTGGAATAACACCTGGACCAGTTGGGCCGAACCTAATCCATTAATGCTCGCTTATACGAATATTAAGCAGCCTGAATATTACGCCGATCAGGCGATCGTAGTAATATCTATCATTTTTTGTTTTTTCGTTATTGGAGCAATAATTGCTTTTAAGTGTCGGAAAACTAATTCGAACAACTTGGGGAATCCTGAATATCAGAATTATCATGAAAGAGTCACTTGTACTATAGATGACAGCGAAGAAGCATTTTCCATATCTAGTGTTGTACCAGGTACAAGACGAAATGATACGCCTAGACACGGAGATATAAATTGACATCTTCGAATGAGATACACGAGCGCTAAACCTCTTTTAATTACCGTAAAAATTTATTACACTCGTCGTACTCTTTTGCAAAGATAATAATATTCTATTTGAATTCTAATAATTAAACTGCACGCGATACTTGTTCATTTATAAATTCACGAAATGTATTAAATGAAAGCGAGTACACAAGTTTCACGGTTTTTATCTCGTGTCATCTCGTTCTTTACTTTCCTATAGAAAACGTGATCCATACGATATACAGGAGTATTATATCGTTAATAGGATGACAACGATAAAATACAAATTCCAAGTTTAAAGGTACCGCTTGTTCAGTAAGTTTGTTGTACTTTGAGAAAAATTCATCGAATAATTCGCAACATTTGTAAATAGTCGACAATCTTAATTAATGCTTACGAAATATTCATACTGATTAAAAACAAAAATTACACCTATGACTAGATTATATCACTTCTAACAGAATTAAACACACGCGCACGTGCGTTCATTTAACTGACATCTGTCACATGAATGATCAACAATAAAAACACTTTTATGAATAAATACCTCAATTTCATAATTTATTTATTCACCGACGCTTTCTTGTCTCTGTACAAAATTTCGTGGAAATAGAAAGTTCGAATCATCGCATTTAAAAAGCAACAAATACGGCACTTCCATTTGCGATCGATATCTAGATTTCGATGATCTTGTGTTTTGCCAGCATTTTATTTCAATTTACTATCCATTTCATTGATACCATTGATACCAAACGTTTACGTCAATAAACGGCTGGCAAATCACAGAGAATTTGCATGAAACGCATTTTGAACAAAACTGTTTGCAAAAACTATAAAGAGTAACCATCGGAATAAATATTCTTCCATCAGATATCGGAACTCGATACCCGAGAAACATCTTATACTATTAACAATTTCATAGCTAATAAAATAACTGAAATATACAGTTCTTCTCCAAGGCAATGTTTCGTTATATCTAAACACAAAAGCTATACAACGATTATAATACAATTTAGTCATGCTCTCACACTCTCTTTTCCTCTGAAGAGATGGAGCGACTTTTTCGTTTTAAAAGCTTCAGGAAAAGCTCCAGAAGCACGACGCGATTAATGTTCCAACGCTCGGAATTGTCACATTAAAAATACAGACATCTTTGCATCCTTGAATCACAGGAATACGTGCGTCACATATTTAATCACGTTTATCTCGTTCGATCTAGTCTAATTACAGGAATAGCCCCGGCAGTTGGCACTTGGCAGGAATGTATCCAGAAGGCAAGGATGGTGTTCACTTCACCGTCATTAATATTCCATCACATGTGCACCACCTTTGGCGTGCTACAATTACGTTGACATCGTGTTAATATTAATTATCTTATGATAAACATTTCTTGGATATACAAATTTCGAAAAAAGAAATAATAATGCATTGTCTCGCGATTCTAAATATTTTCTTGAGTTTATAAATTAAGACATAAAATGAAAGGAACGGATGAGGGAAAAAAATTTCATTCAACATTGAGATTAAGCATCCAAATATTTTATAGAATTAGAAACGATTAGTTAAAAGATCAATGACTGTTATTATCTCTTCAAACTAATCAAAACTAATCTATACTGATATTAGAAAACTACCTTTTTCCCCACAGCCAATTCAGTAAAACGCTCGACTGACTCTGAACATCCCTAGCTGTAAGCAGAAAATTAGAAGATTTATAGCCAACGCTTTAAAAATACCTTGATACTTCTATAAAAATCTTACAAAACATTTTCCTAAAGTTTTATATCTTGTTAAATTTCTCTTCAAACTAATCAAATGTTCTACTACATCACTTTTATGATAATGATTAAGATTAAAAAAAAATTTTAAATATAATGAAAAACAAAACACGTACAAAGCCAAACTACGTACTATTACGTAACTACTAATTACGTACTATTGCTTAATACTCTGGAAGATGAAAACTGGAAATGTTAAATATGCCTGAGGATACATACAGAGTGTATAATTTGCATTGACGAGCCGGGCAGCTGCTTCTGGGGGCAAGGTACTTAGAACGTCTTTGTGCGCTAGCAAAGACATTTGCTGTGTGTGCCTCAATTCTCGCTCATCCCTCAATCGCACGTCTTTTGCGTGGCTCACCGTTTGCAGCTGCGACAGCCTAAAGGGAAAACTAGCTTGTACAATGAAATAAGGAGCTTACTATACTACTCACAAACACATCTTAACATATTTCCGCCGAGGAAAATGTAAAGTTAATTCTCTCCTTACGAATAAAACGCTCAGAAACGAATTTACCACCGCATTCACACATTTAAAGCTCTTATAAGTAGCTTATATCTTTACAACCAGCTGATCCGTGAAGTTATTAAACTGAACCCATTAAAGTCCAATATCTATGTTTTCTTTTCTTTTGTTCGATCTAGAGATGCTATACAGGGTGTCTCCGAAATCATACTACAAGCGATCGGGTGGTGATTTTACATGTAAAAATAGGTCAGAAAAAGAAAAGAATATCACTTTTTTATTTAAGGCTCCGTTTTCGAAAAAATTAAGTTTAAAAGCCCATCAGGTACCCTGTATTAGCTGGAAATTTGGAATTATAAAACTTTTGTTTCTGCTCGTGTCTGTAGTATTAAACATAGACAATGTCACGATTTGCTGAGCTTTCAAACACACCTCTCTTGAAAATGAAGCGTTAAACGAAAAAATGTTATTCCTTCTTTTCGGCTTATTTTTACACTACCTGGCCGCTTGTACCATGATTTCGAAGGCATCTTGTATATAATTCAGGAAAAGAGATTTGAAAGAAAATTTTGCTTATCAAACCTTTGAATCTTTAATGTGCTGGGCGTAACAGGAGCTCCAAAAAATTGACACTCATTCGTTTCTTGAAACGCATTCATATTTAATTGAAAACATTTGTCTTGTTCAGATTAATTGGTGCAGAGCTTCAAACAACATGAACAGATCATACAGGGCTACAGAGGAAAGGATGAATCAACTTGGAAAGCTTGTTTCCAGATCTGCTACGCGCTAAGCAAACTTAGGGGCTAAACAAATGTGTAATCTTTTAATTAACGCAATGTTAAAAACTCTTTTTATTGAATTATGATATCCTATTTAATAGAAACTATCAGCTAAACGAATAAAAAATATTACAGAGGAGAATACGCTAGAATCAAACGTGTAATTATTTTCCTTGACACTAAAAAGTATTATTTTAAAATAATAATTCTTCGACGAAATGTTTGAATTGAAATTTATAAAAGTCCTTCAATAATAATACATCTTTTCTTTGGGAATAAAAAAGAATCAAAATAAACCATGCCTGAAGATCACTTCTATTTAAAAGCATAGAGATATATTATATGTATTAAGTCGTCCCAAAAGTTTCTCTCGTTTTATAGGGAAATAATAGATGCACAATATTCTTTTGTTTTATATTATTTTATTGAATTACGTATGATCCATTTTGTTCCATTGGAACTATAAAACGAAAGAAAGAAACATTTGGGACAACCTAATACATTACCTCATATAAAGTTAAATATTAATGTCTCAACTATTCCAAAAAGGAATGTGTATAACACTATATAGCGACTATAGTAAATAATGATAGATGTCAATGAATTATGTACTATGTATACAATTTAATTAGGATAAAAGAATATAATACATACTTCAGGGCAAGAGTTTCCTTGTCTTCTCCAATTGGAGTATCAATAGCCTCTTTCGCTATCTCGACTGGTCCCTCAGACTTTGACGGTGAAGGATGTTCCACGATTGGTTCCACAGTGCTAGAAGATGACACCTCCCTTTTTGGGCTGAGATCGGAGCTCGCTGAACTCCCCATCTTTCTTAGCTCTTCGTTCACTCTGATTGCATTAGAGAGGCGTAATTGCAATGTGTCACGTTCTTCGAGTAACTGCATCAATTCATGCGTCAATTCCTCGCATCTGACATCCCTTTGATGAAGCATATACAACGCAAGATCTAGTTCTTGCGAAGTCGACGCTTTGTTTTCTTCGTCAGAAGCTTCTACGCTTCGAACTGCAGAAGTATCAGCCGCAGGAACGTCTTTCGTTAAAACATTTCGAATTAATTCATATTCCTTCACTTTCTCTTGTAAAAGTGTCTTCAATGAATTTATTTCCGTTTCTCTGGCAGCTAAAGTATTTTTGAGTTCGGTAAGTTGTTTTCCTGCTTCATCGTATGATGCTAAAACTTCCTCTATACGTTCCTCCTTCTCATGAATTTGAATTTTCAAATTGTGAAGTTCCGCATCTTTGGTGATACTCAATTCGGCCAACCTACGTTCCTTCTCTGCCAGGTCGGAGCTTACTCGAATCAATTCTTCGTCTTTCTGGTGCAATTCGTTTTTCATTGTCTGCTCTATCGTAGAAAATTCTTTCAGCTGTTTCTTCAGATTTTCAATGTCCTTATCCCTCAATCGTAGTTCGTTTAAAATATTTTGATTTTCCTTGGCTAACTTTTGCTTTATTTCGTCGATCTCCATTTCTTTCTCTTTCAGTTTCTTCTCCAAGAATTCATGAGCCTCCAAACGAACCTGTTCTTTCTCGATACTAAGTTTTTGTATAACTTCTTTAGTTCTTTCCGAGAGCCTCTCAAATTCTTGCAAACGAGAAACTTCTTTCTGCAATTCAACAATTGTTGATTTCAAATGTTGGACTTCCTGTTCCTTACCATATAATTCAGTAGTCAACCTCTGCACCATTTCACGCAATTCAAATTCATCTGATTGAGGCTCCATGCTAGCTTGAAGAGACAACTGAGAGTCTTTCTCAGCTATGACATACTTTAGTTCATTAATTTCCTGTTCCTTGGCATACAACTCATTCTGAAGCCTAACAATTTGTTCTTGATCTTGAACCGATCTTCGATCTTTGGAATGAAGACCTGCCTCTTCTTTGGAAACAAATTCTTGATTTTGTATCTCTATTCGTTGTTTCAAAGCATCAATTTGTTTTTCCTTATCTTCGGCTCTTATAGTAGCTACTTCCAAAGCAGATTCCAACTCAGCCTTTTCATTATACAGGCAATTGATTCTTTGTTGCATTTCTTGAATTATATTGGGATACGTATTTTCATTTAAAATGTATTTCAAATGCTCAATCTCTTCTTCCTTCCTTTCCAATTCAACCTGCATGTTATCTATCGTACGCTGTAAATTTTGTTCATTATTACCCATTCTAAAAACTGGTAAACCATCTATAGTATTAGAAGAGCTCTGTTGGTGTTGACCCTGCTGTACAGTAGTTGATAATCTATCAATTTCCATTTGTTTCTCATTTAACATTTGACTGCTCTTCTCTAATAGAGATACCTTCTCATTCAAACTATGATGAGTTTCTTCTAATGTCTTACGAGTGGCTTCTAATTCCAAATTTAAACTGTCTATTCGTTCTGTTTTCCTTAAGAGCTCATTTTTTAAATCCTCTACGTTTTGTACCTCTGTACGAAGTTTATCAATTTCAATTTTATTGTTGTCTAAAACTGTCTTCTGCTCTGCGGTTTCCTGAATA